ACCGACATCTGGTGAAAATTTCATGTCATTAGCACCTCTAGTAATATATTTACTGAGAAAAATGGTGACGTGTTCAATACTTATTTTACCTGCTGTACACAATAGAGGTGCAACGATACAGAAATTTTACGTTTCGACTCAGTTCAATACTTAATCTCATGATTTGATATTTTTTTCGATGCAAAAAAGAGAAATGTCCATGCCCTTCTTAACTTGTTGTTTATTGAAAGTAATTATGAACATTTGTTTAACCTCAAAGCTACAGTTTTTAATTTAAATGTTGCTGAAACAGCAAGTTTCTCAGAGGATCTGTGCCTAGGTGGAGTAGTTGAATACAGATCCACAGAACCTTCAACACAAAGCATCTTCAGAAGAGAAGTTGATAAAAAATATATAAATGGATATTCTTGTTTGATACATGGTGTGTATTGAACCTAGAGCACTGAATTGAACTGTTCGATACAGATACAGTGCCCTCCAAAAGTATTTTGAACATCAAGTCAAATTCTTTATTTTATTTATTTATTTATTTTTTTGTTCACTGAAGACATTTGGGTTCAAGATCAAAAGATGAGACAAGAGTTCAGAATGTCAGCTTTTATTTCCTGGTATTTAAATGTGGATGTGTTTAACAACTTAGTATCACCATTTGTATTATACCACAGCATTTTTAGGTGAGCAAAACCATTGATCGTGACGTGACTGACAGGGTTCCCATGGGTCCTTGAAATCCTTGAAAGTTTGTGAATTTGAAAAAAATGATTTCAAGGCCCTGGAAAGTTTGTGAAAACAGCCAAAAATTACACTTGTCCTTGAAAGTCTTTGAATGTTTTCTGGGGATTGAAGTCTCTATTCACACGGCTGATTTTTATTATCTGTAACAAAAAAATTAAATTAAATTTCAAAAATGTACATTGTTGCAGTGGATAACTCAGTATTACGGTAAACTGATGTGGCTTTCAACAAATAACGTGAGCCATAGTCGTAGTTTTAGCCAATCAGAGCAGAGCAGGGCGGGTCTTTCTTTCTGAGCCCAGGTGAGAGCACCACAGCTCCTCCTGTCCTCACCGAGTGTCTGAACATGTTAATATCCCCTCCTCCCAAACTGAGCTGCTGAACCTCCCAGGACATAATTACATGTCCATGTATTGTGGATATGAATGTAGGGTAAACATTTAATCCACTTTATTTCATTGATTCCCAGTTTTTCATTGAATTTACATGATATTAAAACTCTTTACTGGTAACATTCTGTGGTACCAGTAGGTAATTGCCATCGTGTGTGGTTCTAGTATTTGAGGAAGTTGGTACTGGAAAGTCCTTGAAAGGTCCTTGAATTTGATGATGACCAAGGTGTGGGAACCCTGGACTGACAGGTGTTTCTTATTGACCAGGTGTTGCCTTTAAGGTTGATAGTAGTTCTGTACGACTAGTCTACTTTCTGGCCTGGGTTTAAACCTATAAAGTAGGTTTTTCTTGTCAAAGAAACATGAAGACCAGAGAGCTGTCTATGGGAGAAAAGCAAGACATTTTGAAGCTGAAAAAATAAAACAAAAAAACAATCAAAGCCATAGAAAGAAAGAAACTACTGGTGTGCTGAGCAAATGATGTCCAACAGGCCGGCCAAGGAAAACAGCAGTAGTTGAAGACAGAATTATTGTGAGAGTTGTGGAAAAAAATATATAATAATCAGTAAGTGACCTCACCAACGACCTCCACAGTGTAGGGGTGAAGGGATCACAATCCACTGTTGGAAGACTCAGAGATCAGACATATAGAGGACATACACAAAGATGCAAACCACTCATCAGTAATAAGAATCAGAAGGACAGATTGAAATTTGTAAAGAAGTAAAGAGAAAAGTTCTGGAAGACAATCTTCTGGACTGATGAGGCCAGGATTAATCTCTACCAAAGTGATGAAAAGACCAAATTGTGGAGAAAGAAAGAACTGCACACAAGCTCATCAGTGAAGCATGGTGCAGGTGATGTCATGGCTGCTTCTGGAACAGCCTCATTAATATTTATTGATGATGGAACTGATGATGGCAGCAGAATGAATTCTGAAGTGCACAGAAACATTTTGTCTGACAGTTTACAGAGAAATGTGTCCAAACTAATCAGGAGGAGTTTTATCAGCAGCAGGACATTGAGCCAAAACACACTGACAACAAAACTAAAGACTTCATCGAAGGTTTTAGATCGGCCAAGTAAATCACCTGACCTGAATCCAACAGAGTTTTTCACCTCCTGAAGAGGAGACTGAAGGGA